CTCAACGCAACCCTAATCCTATTTATCTAAAGGCGCATTTACAATTGAATTGGTGGGAGGGTTAGAGATAGGATTCGGGTTTTAATTTTGGGGGTACTGTTCCGAAATATGGCGTAAAATGTTCGTGACTGCCTCGTCGTCGGTTCTTCCATACCGCTCCCTTCACATGAACTCGTCCAAATACCCAGGCAACATGCTTTTCGACACTCCGTTCATTCTTTTCAGCTTTGTCGTGGCTCTATACCAGTAACTCTCAATTGCCTGGGTATGGACTCCGGTGACTGGGTCGACGAAATGGCGGCTATGATTAACGGCGGCATATGAATAACGGTCGTCGTTCGCTAGCTGTTGGTAGGCTGCCGACTGGTTCGAATGGATAGTGGTCCCAGGAACAACCTTGTCTTGGATTATTGGAAGAAGGGTGGTGGCATCACTGCATTCGTCGATCTGCATATAACCTATGGATGGTTTATAAAACCTATCAACCATACCAAACACCCATCTTTCTTCAGCTGGGGCCCTTCCGCGATGATGCTTGCACTTGTGGCAAAATAAACTTTCGTCTATTTCAACCACGGTGCCTGGACTGCCCAACTCGATGTCTCCGCCCATCAGATTTTTACTGCACACTTCACGCAAAAAGTTGCAATAATCTACAAGAGACTGGCGAGAGACTCCAGTCTCAGTACTAATCTTCCGTGTCGGGTAATCCATAGCCCATTTTAGTATAATGTTTAAAAGAATGTCCAAACGTAAACATGACTTGGGAAAAAGAAGATCCATGTCTAATTGATGATCGGTTTCGAAATTTTGCACAATCCTTATTTAGACATCGCCAAGTAAATCCGTCAGTACAGTTTTTAGCGTTTGCCAAAATCATAGGTCGAACACAAGAAAGACAATTTTGTTCTGTTGCCAAAAGCCTATGTTCCTTGAGGAATGATATTGTTTCGTTAATAACACGGATTGCGTTAGCCTGTCGATAAAAGGCCATTTTTAACTAAATGAAATACGTCAAATGGAATATCAAATTTAAAGTTGAATTAAACAGCAAATCTGAAGCCGAGTGGAATCGAATTAAAAGTTATGGAATTAGTACAATGTAGTAGAATGAAATAAAGAGTTTGAATAACAAATCTAAAAGTATGCCTGGTAAAATAAACAAGCGTGTTTGCTACTAGGAGTACCCGAGTTGCAGAAGGCCAAAAGACCAATGATGGTAATGTGAAAAACTTGCATTTTTATACACCCTTTGAACCAATGGCAATGGAGGTACTACTCCTTCCAACCAATATTAATTGCCTTTTTGGTATGATTGAAAAAAAAA